ACGGATAGTCATAGATTACTTTAGCAGATTGCCCGGAACACATGCGTTACCGAATCAGGAAGCACACACCGTTGCCGAAAGGTTTGTCTCAAACACCAACTTAAACTAACGAAGGAAGAGAATGCTGTAAGAGAAATATGTATTTTCACGGTGATAATCTATACCTACAAAATATCGTTTTCCAGCCTCTTCCGGATGGTCATCAAGAAATGATATATAATTATTAAAAGATCTTTGAAAGTATAAACAAAAATGATTACTGTTGCGCTGAAAAAAAAACTGGATCACTTTTGGTATTTGTCGGAAGAGCTGGTTTAGTTTGCATTTTTTAATAACAAACTTTCAGAGTAGTATAGCTATAGGGATTATGTGACAGTTCGATGGCCTGTCCATCCTCAGTTCCCTACCATGCCCTCCAATGGCACCTTGGAGGTCATAATAAAACACATTAAACGAAGAAGTACTTTTATTTGTATATGTAGTAATATGTACGAGTAGTTAAATGTAAATAACATCTTAAATAATACATAATAAACTTATAACTATGCTGATTTCTTTTAAAAATAAAACATTATTGTTAGTAAAATTATAAATAATAAACTTTTACAAACAAAAGTAGTAATTAATGTGTTTGTAATTACGTAGAATATTTAAAACAGTCTATTTTAAACGTTATTTATATCCCCATGGATACGTATCCGTTGTTAAAGTATTTATTATTCTCTTGTCATCATATGGGCTAAGTGCGACCTTTCTTTGTTTGACTGTATAGACGTTATGTTTTTTAGAAATAATTAAATTTTGATTGGCCTCTATGATTTGATTATAGAATAAACATTTATAATAATCATCAAAAGTGATTCCTCTAATTGTTGCCTTTGTTATTCCTTTAATTTTCTTCGTAATATCTGTATTATTATTTTCTTTGTTAAAAAGTCTGATTGCATACATTTTCGATCTGAGTCCAATGAATTCAGAAAAGATTTTACCATTGTTTTCATCTTTCATTAAACCCATTACTTTTTTATTCGTTAAAGGTATATTGTATTCATTATCTTGTGAAAAGTCTGATGTATCAAATTTATGTAAATCACATTTTATGTGATGGTATATATCATCGACAAAGAATTGATATATGAGTGAATCTGTATCAGTATAGAGAAGTTTAGCAGAATTAGAAAATTTATTTTGAATGTAATTATAATGAAAGTCATACAGTACAGTTTTCGAAATGTCAAGAATACAAAATCCTACGTAAATTGGTTTATTGAATTTAATATTTAATCGTTCCATCTCTATTATAATCATATTTTCATTGAATATAGTACAACTATGGAAATTTGGTTTAGAAATGTAAAAATTAGCACCATATCTTCCTGTCCATTTCGTTACTAATTTAACGTCTCTATATTTTCGTACGTTTTCCATTGTTTTACCAAATACTGAGTTATTCATAAGTTTGTAAAAGTTTTTTTCGAATTCATTTTTACTAGCTTTCCGTAAATTCGTATTTAAATCAACAAATTTTTTTAACCACGGAGATTGTTTAAATTTTAGTACTCTATGAATTTTTTCAAGTTTAATACCTAAGCTTAATGCTTGTTTTAAATTTTTATAGTGAATGATATATTTTTTCTTATCAAAAAGTGTTGTTAACAGTTTAGGTGTCTTTGAGCTAGATGTAGGTGGGACTAAATGTTCAGGAAGTAACGGTAAATCTTTGTGTGTTTCGTGTNAGAATTGTTAAGTAGTCAAGTGTTAAGGTTGGGTTATATCCTCCGAGAAATGCGAAATTACTAAAACAATGTTAAATAGAGTGTTAAAACGTCTTTGACTAGATACGTTCTAGATTTAATAAACTTCTGATTTAGTCATTTATCAATGAAATAGTTCCAAGTGTGTGTACACTAGAGTGCGCCACTCCATTATGACGTAAATGTTGCCACAATTTGGTTCAGGGTATGCAAACTTGAGCCCCAATTGTGGCGTAGTACACACACATCATGTACCCGCCATGTGTTAAACAGTAGAGGTTGTTTGTAGCAGACAATCTGCGCACTATCCTCGTAGGCGTGGTATATTCAAAGCGGCACACACGAAACAGACTTATATGCGATTTATGGCAACTTTTGCTGTGGCATCCGAATGTGCGTTGCCACAACTAAAGCGTACGCCACAGTTCAGCTTAATGCACACACAGGTTGCCACAGTTAATGCAATACAAATACACACACACACACACATACACACACACACACTATGGACCTCCTAGAGGAAGGTTATGTGCCTTTCACTAGATTAGAACTGATTAGAATAGGATCGTGTACAGATCATATTCCAACAAAAACTATAATGAATTTGAAAAGCTTAATTTTATGTCAATCATTTACTGGACATGATATTGATGGAGCAAGATGTTAACGAAGCTACAGATAAATTTGTTCAAAATATTAAAATAACTATAAGGAATTCGATACCAAGACAAACAAAGAGAGAGAGGCCCAGAAAGTCGTGGATTACTGATACTCTAATTAAACTTATTAGTATTGAAAAGCAACAAAAGATGGAAAAGACTTAGAAAATTTACAATTAGACAAAAAATCACAATACATAGTTTGCAACGACAAATTCAGAAAATTAATTAAAAAAGAAAAAATAAAGCACACAAAACTCAATTAGGTAGTGCGGATAGTAGGAGTATGTGGAAAACAATTAAAGCAAAATTAAACAATGTATTAGTAAAAAAACAATAGAATTGAAAAAATCAAAGAATAAGATCACAGGCAAGTCTCTGATGACTGAAAAATTCAATGACTTGTAGGATTACTTTAAGGACGACTTTAAGGTATTATCCAAATACCACACATAAAAAGTTTATCTGACGATAAGTCAATTCATCTTTGTCCATATACTAGTGAAGAAATAAAGGGTGTAATAAAAGATTTAAAAAACTAATCGGGCGGAGTAGATGGGCTTCAGTTCTGGGTTCTGACAAGCATTGCAAACTTCATAGCTGTCCGTCTTGAATACACTATAATAAATAAATGTATCATAGTTGGAATATAACCAGATCATCTGAAGATGTAACACCGATCAATAAAACTGGTGATTGTGCAATAATATAACCTATAACCTAATAACCTATAGACCTATATCCTTGATCTCAAATATGGCAAAGGTTTTTGAAAGAATTATATACATAAGGCCGCCACATGATTGCCTATACGATTATGTTTCCAAGAGCACAAACGAATTACAGAAAAACTCAAACTCATGGGATTTGGTGGTAAGGTTGGAGAACTGATCAAGTCATATCTAATGAAAAAAAATAAAAACAAAGAATAAAGGAAGGAAAGCAGAGTGAGTACAATAACATCACGATAGGAGTGCCGCAGGAAACTATCCTTGAACCATTACTTTTATTTTATACATCAATGAGATACTATATCTTACGCGTGAGATAATAGCATATGCAGATAATGCAGTACTAACGATGGCTGAAGTTACGACTCAGCACCTGCCCAGTCACCAATGAAGATGTCGTCAGCAAAGAACGGCGAAACGCTTGGAAATGCTAAAAATTCCACGGACCACGGCCAAAAAAGCCCGGAAGAAAACACCGCATCGATATTCGACGGCCGAGAAAGTCTAAGAAAACTGGTCCTCCTTAGAAAAGCAACTGACTGATAATATCAATATGATACATAATTGGTATTAGAAGAATGATTTAAACTCCAATATTAACAAAACTGAACTTCTGACTTTTGGTAATTATCTGAGTCTATACCAAAACACTTGGTACAGCGTAAACATATACGACACTGAAACTACCAATAGCTCACATGTCAAATACATGGGAGTACAAATTAATCAGCATTTAATCTAATTAATAATTGAAGCATCTAGTGTGTTTCCTATAGATTAACGAAGAGAAAATATCATGAAAGTATATGCTCGTTTTTAGAGTGTAAATATTTACAGTATTTAGGCACGGAGCGGGACATATGTCAATGCAATTGATCAATTAGTACAATTACAGAAAAGAATTTTCAAAGTTATAAACATAAGTAAAGAAAGGCAACATTAAAATTTAACTGGAAGTAATAAACGATTATTAACGATTATGAGCTTGTATCAGTTTGAATGACCATTATATATTTATAAATATCTAAAAGTGGAATATAGAAACTGAAACAGTAAAACTAGAAACATACGTTTCGCGCTACCTAAATGTAAGCTCTCTATTGGTCAAAAACATCACAAGCATGTCGCCAGGCCAACCTAAAGTTAATATATCAAAGAGAGCAAGTAAATGTAAGCAAACAGAATGGTCCCAACATTAGGAAAATACTGAACATAATTGGTATAAGCTTAATTAGGAAGTGAAAGTGCGTACCTGGACTATTAAGACTATGCAGTTATAGTTTATACAGCGTATTACAAACAGGTTTTTCTTATTTTTAATTGGTTAAGCAATGTTATATTGGCACGAAATATAATTTTCTCTTTTCATTTTTCCCTATGTTCTCTTTAGGTATAAACAATTTTTTAAGTTCGTCTACATCACCTACAGGTACTTGTACCTTCAGTGGGCTACAGGATACATATATATTTTGTATATCTATGCATCATTCTTTCTGTAGATTAATATATAGAATAAATTTATTTATTCATGTTTATACACTGCCAAAGCCGAGATGTATTTAAGTTTATACATATTTACAATGTATGTTAGTTTCTGATAAACAATTGCTATACAATTGCTACAGTTCAGGATTTGTAACCAACTGATGATTATGAATTTTATTGTTTAGATGCTCCTTTTCTCAGTAAATTATTGTTGGTGTTAATGTATGTTAAGATAGGTCACACCTTATCTTTATTTTGTTTTTATTATTTTGTGGACTTTCTTTATAAACTAAATCACTGTTCAAGCCAAAATATGCCATTTTTGCTATAGAATACTCAATTTTTGCAAAGCTTAAGTTTTATGTACTCACCAAAGGGTTTTCTTCTTCTTTGTTCTCCTTTGCAATATTTCTGCCTTCAATTTCCTTACATAGTTTTTTGTCCAGACTACAAATGATTAGATCTCTTATTTGACTAAGTCTGTTACCTCCAATGGCCTGTATTTGTTGGCCTGCTTTTAGTTTGTTTGAAAAATTTTTAGTTTCAAACTGAAATAAAAATGGTCTAAATATCTTTATTGTAACCAAATAATCTGAACCCGGCACTAGATCATCCAAAATGATTGGGTTTGGTTTCTGAAAAAAGTTTTACTTTAACTGATCCATTAGAAGAGAAATAAGACAGTAATACTTACCAATTTAGCATTTCCATATTCCTTTCCACATATTCGTCGATAATAGAAATGATCAATGGTTTTTAGTGTTTCTTCTCTAACTTTCACAGCCTCACACTTTCTTGCTTCTGCAGTTATAGGGGTAGGATTTCTTAGTGTTATATAAACATCTTCAGAAAAATCGTTTAAGCTTTCAGGTTCAGGATCATTGGCATTTTGCAAGTTTTCTATACTAATTAGAGAAGTTCGTATTATACTCTAAATTTATAACAGCATGTTTAGTTCCTGCATTTGTTAAACTTACCCACACATTTTTTGAATTTTTTGTTGTTCACTTGCGGGTAAATGGAGTCCCAAATAGTCAAATATTATCAATCTTTCGTTGAAGTTATCAATTTCCCCAGGCTCCTCATCTAACTTTACATCATCTTGAAATGATTTAGAATATTCTTCCAAAGGAAACGGTTCACTTGAAGGGAATTGAGAATAAGGATAAACTTTTTCCATTTTAAAAATGTTTAAAACGTTATTATGATGACTTCAAAACTTTAGGGTTATTATATCAATGATATATCAATCACATCAACTACACATCAACCATAGATAACAGGTACACAAAGGGTAAACAATTCTAAATTATATGGCTGTTAAATGTAAAACCATAGAAAAATGATCTCTATAGATATGAAACTTTGAATGCTAGAAATAAACAGAAATTGCTCATGTAGATAATTTATTTAAAAAAATGTATTAAGAAAACTAATGGCGAAGCAATAATCAGTAATGTGATCTTCCAACTCATCTTCTCTTCAATAAAACATTTCCAACCCAACGAGATGTCCTTTTGACTGTAGTTGTTTGACAAATTCTGCATTATTTATGGTATACACATATATATAATACTCCCTACATTGCAGGCAGAGAAGAGAGACTAATAGAGAAGTCCAATGCTGGGTTAATAATCAGGACTTCGTTTCGGATAACATGTCGGTAAATCTCGAAGCTTCTGTCATCCGACCGGTAGTTGTCGCTTCGGAAAATCAACCGTTTTTTTTTTTTTCTTTACAAACTTGGCATACAACAGCAAAGTAAAAAGACTTATGCGTTCTGTGATCCCACCACTTCTACTATTTACCCCTGCCATTACTGCGTTTACTCTTTGCTTCGACTCAATACAGCGTTGAGGCGCTCATTTTCATAGCAGCGCCATCTCCCGGTTCTATTTAGAATTTCTTACTCACGTTTTAGTCCTCCATTTGAATTGGACTTCTATACTAGTCTCTCTTCTCTGATTGCAGGCGACGCTAAAAACCGCAAGACTCCGTAGCTCTTGCGCAGGCGCGAAATAATTTTGAGTCATGTCTATGATTTTGCTCTTGCCGCCTTTTTATTCGAATTCAAACAAACAATCTCAAGCGTTCTGATCTGTGGAGTAGAAATACACTGGGCAGTAATCTACTAATAATTGATAATGTAGACAGGAAAATGATACTTATATACAACGTAAACGCATTCTTTATTAGTATGAATGAATTGAGATGGGCAAACACCTTTAATTTTAATAGATCCACTTGACTTTTCATTTCTTTTACTGCTCTTTCCTTGAAAACCTTAAGAAATACAAATTTTTATTTTCATCATACATTTTATAAAAATGTACTACGTCTAATATCACTACATTGCAGCAATACACTGTTTTAAATTTAGAATTTTCATTCACCCGGCTTATTGCATAATTAACTTCAACAGATTCTTTTTTAAACCATTCCTCAAATTCTTGAGCACCTGAAAAAGTTAAAGTTACATTAGCTGTTGTTATATTATGAGATTATGAGAAATTAGTAAATGATCATTTAATAGTGCAAAATTTGTCATCCTGTTCATAACAAATGGGGCAAATAATACGATTTTCTTTTCTTGGAACTACTTCTTTTTGATGGACGTTCCTTATATGACTCCATAAATTACAATTTTTGGAAAATTGCTTATTACAATAAATACATTTATACTTCGCATCATTATCCATTCTTGTACACCTGAAGGAAACTCAAACAAAAATTAGTGATTAATAAGGTACAAATACAATCAATTTTTCTACACTGTTATTTACACTACTACTTATACTGTAAACAAAAAAATAAGTACTTTTTTTAAGAAAGAAAATTAAATTCTTAAAAATGATTAATATAACAGATATAACGTAAAAACGTCTGCCTAATAATATAAACAAATACATTAAATTGTTGGACACTATTTACACCAGCACCACTTATAAGCTAAACACAAAAATAGGTAATTGTTTTAGGAACGCAGAATAAATTCGCTTTTTAAACAATGATTATGAGTCTTTGTTTAATGCATAGATTAAACACTGTTGCATGTGCACAATTCTGCAGATGAAAGAAATCCAAAAACGAATGAAATAAATCAGCATACACTATTAATCATGAATTGAATTGACGGTTAACCGTTTTAAAAATGTAATTAGAGGTTAGAACGATTTAAAAATATGAAAAAGGGCGGCAAGGAGATTTTCATAGACATTTTTGACAGGAGTCAATTTCGCGCCTGCGCAAAAGGTACGGAGTCTTACGGTTTTTAGTGTCGCCTCTACATTGCTAGTTCCCGTAAGTGGAAGTGTCACGGAGTAAGTGAAACAACAAACGACTACTTCTGTCTCTTTTTAGATTACTCGACCCGTTGTGCTCAATCGTCACGACTCTGGTGGGGTAAATGATGCGCGCTTATAGGCATGTTCAATTGTCAAGCATGCGCGTAATACTCGAAGTAGTTACGAAAGAGACAGACGCATATATGTCTGTACCGTTGGGTCGTCATCTTTTTCTAGACCCCGACTAGCAATATAGGAGTATTATATATATGAGTATAGATGACGAACGATGCTACGAGCTAGGGCAACCAACCCCACCTCATAATCAGAATTTTTATTGTACATAGGAACATAAACTTATCAAACTCTGCAGACGTCCAAAAAACCCAGAAATAAATCGCTCACATGTACGTGCGTGTAGTTACAGTAGTTCGGAGAGATCCTCGTCTTTTGATAATGATCATTACAATAGGTGAAAGGTTATGCGCAATTATTTACCACCACGAACGGTTCCGCCATCATTCACCTTATACGAGCGAGTATCAAACGAAGCACGTCGTAGTCCACCTTATACAAGAGAAGGTCGAAAGAAAATCGTCAATGTAGAAATAATACAGCAAACCTATATATAGAAACTTCAAGGGACAGACGCCCTGAAGCAGTTATATCAGCCCCCTTAAACGAGAGAGCATAAGATGAAAGTCGCCATGAACATAGCGGAGGTGAGATAAATAGAAACAAAAAAAATCGTGGTGCTCCTAGTATATCATTACTCTCAAGATCCCTGACAACGACTTATGGAAGTCGTATTGAACGACTACAAAGCGTCGACTTCAATGATGAAAGATCAACTGTGGGTATGTTAAGATTGGAGCTCCAGAGAGTGTAATCTCCAAGTTGTCAAATATTTTTTGGCATTCGGGTGTCCACTGGAATGTGACTCCATCTTCAGTAAATCTGTGTAGTAGTCGAACTATATCGCTAAATCCTCAAATGAATCTTTAATAGTAGGAGCAAAATTCCAGAAAACCTCTAAATTCGTAACGATCCTATGGTATGGGCCAACTTCGTACAGCATCCGTTTTGGCAGGATAGGTCATACTACCTTATGATCAGTGTTGGCAGATGCGTGAAAACAGAATATTGTACCATGACCATAGAATTATTGTACTTTCAGACAAATTATTGTACTTTTTGTAATTATCGTAAATAGTTAACTAATTTTATTTTAAAGCTACCTGCAATATTACCATATGGAAAAGTTAAGCACCCATAGAAATTATTGCAGTTTACTATGATAATTTTTTTTTCAGGATTTGAAATTCAGTACACACAAAAATTGGCGGTTATTTGAATATTTTAGTTTAAACATTATGAATAATTAGAGATATAATAGATATTTGTAAAATATATGGATTTTCAAAATTTTTGTATATTTAGGAATTATTATACAAAACATCAAGTCAAGGTACATGTACAATATTTATTGTACGTCTGTCAACACTGGGAAAGAGTGAAGCCACGAATCATTTTAACGTATTGGAGAATGACTGGTTGTCATTGGATAATAATAATACTGTCAAGCTAAAACGACCGGCACGCCGCCTTTCTGTAAAATGAATAACCTAAATGTATAGCGGCAAAATCCGTACGGCTTCGAAAATTTAGAAATCATTATTTCTTCATAAAATAACTGGGTATTCAAAATTATCGTACTTTCAAGCATTATTGTACACCTTGGATTGCAGATTGTACAAAACATTAAATTATGGTACATGTACAATAATTATGGTATGTCTGCCAACACTGCTTACGATGTTATAACATGCCCTAGGTATTTCACTTCCCTTATAAACGGGATTTATTTCTGAGGACTTAGCTTCAATTTTACGGCTGCCAATTCTTTAAAGACTTCAGTCACGTTTCGGAGTTGGTCTTCAAAGGTTCTTCCTGATATGACGATGTCGTCTAAGTAAACCAAACTGATTTTCCAGTTTAAGAGTTATAATACAGTGTACATGAGTCTTTCAAATGTAGCCGGTGAATTGCACAATTCTTTATAAGGTTATTTACTTCTTCTTTCTTCTCCCAAAGAACTCTTCTAGGTACTTAGTTGTTTGACAGGCCTTACTGTTCCAGTGTTGATTCAGTAGTATGTTAAGCCGATATCGCCGTCTATTCTGACTTTCACAATGCTGTTGAAGTGACAGTAGTGTTCAATCTTCCTCTACGATCACCTTATAGACGGTAAGGTTCGTCTTCGGGATTTGGTATTTTTATCTCCTGTCCATAGCTGCGTCTTGTATGATACCTCATTTGGTTGAACGATAGTGTTGGATGTCCATGTGTTGATACCCCTTTTAACATTATGGTAATTAATAGATCCTTCTAACCCTAATAATGGGTTAGTTCCCTCCAGTCCTGAAACAATGACTTCTGGAGCTTGCTTAGTGCGAGCCAACTTGCGCTCCATAATGCTAGTTGATCGATTGTCGTGTTTTCTTTGCGGACAGTCTCAACTTAGGTGACCCATTCTTCCATAATTCCAGCATTTCGGACGATCACAGTAGTTGTTGTAGTCTCAGACAAAATGACCAGCTCTACCACTTTACCACTATTTTGATTTTCCTTCTACAGTGTTTGTAGCAGTGGCGTTCTTCATATCTATGATAAGTAAATTCTTTAACGAGTGAGTCGATACCATTTTTGAGATTGTTTCATCGTTGATTTCGGCTTGTCGCACCTGTAAATGACACTTGGGAGCTTAATTAGGGATTTGATGTAGTTCATCGTCTCTGACTTTATCGACAAATGTTTACTGCCAGTTAGTAAATGAACTTTTGAGGGCAGAGAGGTAGACTATTTTTACGAGGTGTTATACATCGGACTCAAATTGTTGAAGAATCTCATTATATCGTTGGTTACGGCTTTCAGCTGCGTTTGATATACTTGTTGCAGAAGTTTATCGCCCTATCTTATTTTTAGGAGGTTGACAAGTGGAGGTCATAATGTTGAGACTCGGGCATTCTTTGAAGTATACGGTACCACGCGCGGGGATGCTCGGACAAACATCGTAATAAATCCGATATTTGCTACTACCACAAGCGATTTGATGACAACATTCACCCGATTACGTACGCTTTCGATCAGAACCCGGCCAAAGCATCTCATAGACAGCAACGTCATCTTGACCTCATAAGCCAATGTACAACGAAAACCACCACCGGTTTGAGAATCTCGAAAATTAATCACATTACCTTGCCCTTTATCGTTATGACTAATGACATCGCACATGAACCAAACCAGGACACAGAAATTCGACAACTCTTGCAATCTGAAACGTCGTTAAAGCTCAAACAACTGAGACTGGATGGTACAGGAACAACTGTATACTACGACGTCTCTACGGGCACAATTCGCCCTTACATGCCAACGAATCTGGGGAAACGATTTTTGACGTGGTGCAAACCATAGACATATATTAATGGACGTGCCTTAGCCGTATGTCATTGTAATAATGTCTTGGCTCGAAAAGTGAGGGAGATGGCGTATGGTTTAGGACTAATGCTATCTCTTTCATGGCACGCTTAAGGCGGAAACACATTATTAAAACGCGACGCGACCCGATGAAACGCGATGCGTGTTGAGTCAAATCAAATGTATTGTTTTCTATAGACCAGAATCACACTATGAACATCCGACGCGACGCCATGCGTGCACACGCCACCTGATCCAGACGTTCCAGGTCGGTGTGTTGCCCATGGTGTTTCTAGCAGGGATGTAACGGAGGTAGTTTTATCGGAACCGAAGGCGGAGTCGGAGTTTTTAAATTTGCTTTATCGGAGTCGGAATCGGAGTCGGAATCAGAGTCGGAGGCAGTCAGAAGTGGTGGCATGAGAGAGAATTTTTATTTGAGGACAAATAAAACATTATTTAGTCAAATTTTTTTCATTTCAATTTTCATTTATAAAATAAAACACAAACAATGAAAAAATAATTGACGATAGAGTGCTCAGTGCACGTAGTGGAAGTCGGGGGGATTCCCCGCGCGACATGTATGAAGTTCATACTATGAACCTGTTCATAACAGTCGACACAGGCCGCCGCGCCGCCGCTATNAGTATTTCTAGGGGAAGGGTGGCAAGTTATATATATGTATACATATATGTTGGACGCTGAAATAACCTAATTAGGTCGTATGCAAGCTCAGCGATGGTGCTAACCAAAATTTTACCGAATATTTCGGGGGGAAGGGAGGGAGATAATTGTTTCCCACGTTAATCTAACTTACACTTACATTTTGTTAAGGTGTAATTTCCCACGAAAGTGGCGAAGAAATAGCCGCCGAGTAATCTATAAAATAACCTAATATAAAAAAGAAACCTAATCATATGTATATTTTCCCATGATCGAAACAATTCCTACGTAGATTATATAAAAAAAACAACAATTGAGCGGGTATCACGTCGAACGAACGAAACCTAAACTGTACAAACGTATTCGGAAACATTCCAGTGGTGATTGTAAGTTCCCATTGTAATACGGTCGGCCGTGACTATTACCTATCGCACGTCTATGATTAGTGACTGGGTAATTTGCAAGGTTATCTGCTCATAAAATGTTTATTTACATAAAAGATTGTTTAAAACACCTTCCCTCTGACTGGTTTATTGTATTTCTTCAATAAATATACTAATGTAAGCTTTTTATAAAAGAAAAAAGTTATTTTCGGTAAGGGAAACGACTTTAAGTTAACAGTAGCTGTCACAATGAAGTGTCAACTTTGACGTGTGATCTACAAATATTAATTTGCAAAAAAAAGCATTAAAAAGGCCTTCCCCCGGATTATTTCATGTAAGTTTTTCATAATTAGGTCATTTTACGTCATTTCCAGCAAAAAAAAGTCGCATTTTCGAAAAAGCCGCGATTCGGAAGTTTTACCAAACATCGTAATAAATCCCAGTATTTGCTACTACCATAAGCGATTTGGTGAAAACACCCACCCGATTACGTACGTTTTCGATCAGAACCCGGCTAAAACATCTCATAGACAGCAACGTCACCTTGACTTCATAAGCCAATATACAACGAAAACCACCACCGGTTTGAGAATCTCGAAAATTAATCACATTACCTTGCCCTTTATCGTTATGACTAACGTCATCGCACATGAACCAAACCAGGACATAGAACAGACAACTCTTGCAATCTGAAACGTCGTTAAGGCTCAAACAACTGAGACTGGATGGTACAGGAACCACTGTATACTACGACGTCTCCACGGGCACAATTTGGCCTTACATGTCAACGAATCTGGGGATTAGATTTTCGACGTGGTGCAAACGACAGCACATGCCAGCGGGCGTGTCATCGGCAGTAAATTACCAATTGTCTGACCAAACATGAATAAGCAAATCATGCACTGGGCTCGGACCTACTTACCGTGTCAACGTTCGTTTTCGCCATGTATATGTCGACATCCTACGGGCATCGTTACTGGTTGACAATGATTGACCAATTAACGCGATGGCCCGATGCCCGATAAAGAACATCATCGTCATCATCGTAGACACGTTGTTCACCACTTGGGGCACACGTTTCAGAAAACTAACCGTCATCACCACTGACAGGGTTGTCCAATTCGACTCACAGCTATTCGATGTAGTGCCCAGACTTATTGGAAGCTCAAGAGTACGCACGACCACCTACTATAATCAATCTAACGGTATCGTATAAAGATAGCATCGCACTCAGTGCAGCAATCAGGGTATGAAATGCCTAGACTAGGTAAATAGATGTAAAACTCTCGAGATTTGGACGATAGTAGTGACATCTAAGTTTACCCCACATTAGTAGACGATACTTGGAATATATATATTAATTGTATTGGCAAAGAAAACTTCGAATTTCACTGTCATCTATACATCACACTATGAAGCGTAACCAAAGGCGCGCATTTCAAAATTACACCAAATTTTATTTTATTTTTTTTTGTTTTAAATGGAAATTGAAAAAAAAAACAAAAATAAAATTAACAAATTTAATAACAAAGTATAAATGCAGTAATAAATATAATTAGCACAATATACGAGTAAATAGCAAACATCAATTAATTAAAATATAGATACTAATACAGGTATATTTGTATGAACAAAGAAATTGTTCTTTACCTAATTTAGTACTGCTTCCTGCTTCTACAGGGGGTGCTAACGATTCAGAAACTGCAGAAATACTAGCTTCTGTATTGTCCATTGTGAGTGTACTTTCTATAACAAATAATTATATATGTTTTGGATATTTGAAACTGTTATCTGCATAACTACCTGCAGTTGAAACAATTCTTCTTTTCCCGTCATATGTTTTCACTGGATGCAGTACTTTTTCATCTTTTAATGGGGCAATTCCGTCTGCTTCTATTCCTCTACCAGAAGAAGTTCTACAAAACATTTTTTTTTAGAACTTAAGTTTCACAACAACAAATTACAATACCTGCCACTTTCGTTGGAACCGCTGTTACTTCAGGAAAATGGAAAGCGGCATCTTGACCTTTAACTCCTGCAGGAACTGTATAATCTAGGTAGAACATTTCAAATTAATTTGACCCCGTAATAGTGTAGACTGTACATCACGGTTTTTCTGTGTTGGGCAGAAAACATCCTTTCTTTACTTATTGTAAAGCATGATTGAAGTACTTAATATATTACTTACTTTCAGGATAGGTAAAAGTACTTTTCACAAAAATTTTAAAATATAACAAGTTGTGAAACTACTCACTATTGCTCAATAACGCCACAACTACTGGGGAATTCCTCCGATAATCGCAACCGCCGTCGCATCATCTGTTGTCGTTTCAGTAAAATGTATGTCGCCTAGTATGTCGGTAATGTCGATTTTGGTAATTTAAAAAATTTAAAAACTTACGTGGGGTAAACTTAGGTGTCGCTCGCGCTCGACATTTCATACCCTGATTTGCATAAGCTATGGCACAGGGTATGAAATGTCGAGCGCGAGCGACACCTAAGTTTACCCCACGTAAGTTTTTAAATTTTTTAAATTACCAAAATCGACATTACCGACATACTAGGCGACATACATTTTACTGAAACGACAACAGATGATGCGACGGCGGTTGCGATTATCGGAGGAATTCCCCAGTAGTTGTGGCGTTATTGAGCAATAGTGAGTAGTTTCACAACTTGTAATATTTTAAAATTTTTGTGAGAAGTACTTTTACCTATCCTGAAAGTAAGTAATATATTAAGTACTTCAATCATGCTTTACAATAAGTAAAGAAAGGATGTTTTCTGTCCAACACAGAAAAACCGTGATGTACAGTCTACACTATTACGGGGTCAAATTAATTTGAAATGTTCTACCTAGTTCCTGCAGGAGTTAAAGGTCAAGATGCCGCTTTCCATTTTCCTGAAGTAACGAAAGTGGCAGGTATTGTAATTTGTTGTTGTGAAACTTAAGTTCTAAAAAAAAATGTTTTGTAGAACTTCTTCTGGTAGAGGAATGGAAGCAGACGGAATGGCCCCATTAAAAGATGAAAAAGTACTGCATCCAGTGAAAATATATGACGGGAAAAGAAGAATTGTTTCAACTGCAGGTAGTTATGCAGAAAACAGTTTCAAATATCCAAATAATTATTTGTTATAGAAAGTACACTCACAATGGACAATACAGAAGCTAGTATTTCTGCAGTTTCTGAATCGTTAGCACCCCCTGTAGAAGCAGGAAGCAGTACTAAATTAGGTAAAGAACAATTTCTTTGTTCATACAAATATACCTGTCTTAGTATCTATATTTTAATTAATTGATGTTTGCTATTTACTCGTATATTGTGCTAATTGTATTTATTACTGCATTTATACTTTGTTATTAAATTTGTTAATTTTATTTTTGTTTTTTTTTTCAATTTCCCTTTAAAACAAGAAAAAATAAAATTTCGTGTAATTTTGAAATGCGCGCCTTAGGTTACGCTTCATAGTTTTATGTATAGATGGCAATGAAATTCGAAGTTTTCTTTGCCAGTACCATTTATATATATATTCCAAGTATCGTCTACTAATGTAGGGGAAACTTAGATGTCACTGGTATCGTCAAAATCTCGCGAGTTTTATATCTATTTCCTAGTCTAGGGCAGCAATAGTGTCACGAAACCTCCCACTGGGTCAATGTCCTTCTTGTCATTCTACACAGTCTCTAAAACCGCTACAAGGAAGACATCGAGCTATTTCCTGTAGAAATGACTTACGGAATCACAGTGAAATTACCTGACGAATACTTCATTCGGGAAGAACAACCTCAGAATCCAATTGCTACGACTGCTCATCACCACAGGACGAATATATTCACCTAAAACACTATTAAAGAGTGCACGCATGTTTGTGAGAATCAACCGCAAAAGGAAACCTTTTAGAACAACCTTATGAGGGATCCTATGAAGTCATCCACAGAACGAACGACACCCAGTTTAGAATTAACTACAAAGGAACTCCGACAGAGATATCAAACAACAGACTCAAATCTGCCTTCATCGAAGTCTAGAAGCACCTGGATTTGGACCAAAACGCCGTTAATACCAGCTCAACTGCCACCCCGAACCAAGCTAAAAAAACAGGGCCACTACCACGGGCGTTAAAAAGACACCGAGCAGAACCATAGAAAAAAATCGGATGTGGCCTTAAGGTTGACGTCTATTGCGTTGCTAAATTATGCTTAGCTGACAGATTTTAATGCTTTTAATTAACTCTCGAAACGTGCGCCGTCGGTATGGCTATATTTAGTTTGTAAAATTATTTTATCTCTATATTATAGTCGGTTTGTTCGGTAATACTTCCGAATCGCGGCTTTTTCGAAAATACAGCTTTTTTTTGCTGAAAATGGCNAGGTCATTCTTCAGCTGAAGAATGACCTCCAAGGTGGCTTTGGAGGTCATGGTAATGGACAGGCCATCGAAGTGTCACAGTATCCCTATAGCTATACTACTAACGGATGGTCAAGAACTTCTTTAAAGCATGGGATACAACGATTTATAACGTTTTCAGAAGCCTATCTCTAACCGTTTCTGAGATGTCGTCCACCAAAAAAATCGAGGTACCTACAGTCTCAATGCGTGGAATGGGAACACAACAGACGGTCCAAAAGTCTTTAAAGCATGCGATACGACGATTTATGAACTCTTCAGAAGCCTATCTCTAACCGTTTCTGAGTTGTCGTCCACCAAAGAACTCGAGGAAGCTACAGCATCTATGCGTGGAATGAGAATAAATCGGATGGCCTAAACGTCTTTCAGGAATGCTATACGACAATTTATGACCTTTTCAGAAGGCTACCACTAACCGTTTCTGAGATGTCGTCCACCAAAAAACTAGAGCTAGCTGTTTGCGATACGACGATTTATGACGTTTTCAGAAGCCTATCTCCAACCGTTTCTGAGATGTCATATACCAAAAAACTCGAGGTTGCTACAGCCTCTATGCGTGGAAGGAGTATAAAACGGATGGTATTAAACGTCTTTAAAGAATGCGATACGACGATTTATGACGTTTTCGGAAGCCTATCTCCAACCGTACCTGAGATGTCGTCCACCAAAGAACTCGAGGAAGCAACAGCCCCCTATGCGTGGAATGAGAATAAAAGGGATAGTCCAAGACGTCTTTAAAGAATGCGATACGAGGATGTATGACGTTTTCAGAAGTCTATCCCTAACCGTTCCTGAGATGTCGTCCACCAAAAAAATCGAGGTAGCTACAGCCCCTACGCCTAGAATGACAACAAAACTTCTTTAAACATTCGATTCGACGATTAGTGACCTTTTCAGAAGCCTATCCCTAACCGCTTCTGCGATGTCGTCCACCAAAACACTCCAGGTAGCTACAGCTTCTATGCGTGGAATGAGAATAAAACGGATGGTCCAAAAGTCTTTAAAGCATGCCATACGACGATTTATGAACTTTTCAGAAGCCTATCGCTAACCGTTCCTCAGTTGTCGTCACCCAAAAAACCTGAGGCAGCTACAGCCCCTATGCGTGGAATAAGAATAAAACGGATGGTCTAAAACGTCTTTAAATCATGCGATACAACGATTTATGTCCTCTTCAGAAGACTACCTCAAACCGTTTCTGAGATGTCGTCCACCAAAAAACTCGAGGTAGCTACAGCCCTACGCCTGGAATGAGAATAAAACGGATTGTCTACAATGTCTTTCAAGCATGGGATTCGACGATTTATGACGTTTTCAGAAGCTTATCTCCAACCGTCAATGAGATGACGTCCACCAAAGAACTCGAGGTAGCTACAGCTTCTATGCGTGGAAGGAGTATATAACGGATGGTCAAGGACTTCTTTAAAGCATAGGATACCACGATTTATAACGTTTACAGAAGCCTATCTCTAACCGTTTCTGAGATGTCGCCCACCAAAAAAATCGAGGTTCCTACAGCCTCAATGCGTGGAATGAGAGTACAACAGATGGTCCAAAAGTCACTAAAGCATGCGATACGACGATCTATGACCTTTTCAGAAGGCTACCACTAACAGTTTCTGAGATGTCGTCCACCAAAAAACTAGAGCTAGCCGCTTGCGATACGCCGATTTATGACGTTTTTAGAAGCTTATCTCTAACCGTTCATGAGATGTCCTCCACTAAAAAACTCGAGGAAACTACAGCCTCTGTATGTGGAATGAGAATAGAATGGATGGTCTAAAACGTCTTTAAAACATGCGAAGCGACGACTTATGACCTTTTCAGTTGCCTATCTCTAACTGTTTCTGCGATGTCGTCCACCAAAAAAAATCGAGGTAGCTACAGCCCCTATGCCTGGAACGACAACAAAACGTCGTTAAAGCATGCGATTCGACAATTTATGAAATTTTCAGAAGCATATCTCCAACTTTTTCTGAGATGCTGTCCACCAAAAAAATCGAGGTCCCTGCAGCCTCTATGCGTGGAATGAGAATAAAACAGATGGTCCAAAAGTCTTTAAAGCATGCGATACGGCGATTTTTGAGCTCTTCAGAAGCCTATCTCTAACCGTTCCTGAGTTGTCGTCCACCAAAAAACTCGAGGTAGCTACAGCCTCTCTGCGTGTAATGAAAATAAAGCGGATGGTCTAAAACGTCTTTAAAGCATAGGATACGACAATTTATGAGCTCTTCAGAAGCCTATCTCTAACCGTTTCTGAGATGCCGTCTACCAAAAAAATCGAGGTAGCTACAGCCTCTATGCCTGGAATGAGAAAAAAACGGATGGTCTAAAACGTCTTTAAAGCATTCGATATGACGATTTATGACCTTTTCAGAAGCCTATCCCAGACCGTTTCTGCGATGTCGTCCACCAAAAAAATCGAGGCAGCTACAGCGTCTATGCGTGGAATGAGAATAGAATGGATGGTCTAAAACGTCTTTAAAGCATGCGATGCGACGACTTATGACCTTTTCAGAAGCCTATCTCTAACCGTTTCTGCGATGTCGTCCACCAAAAAACTCGAGGTAGCTACAGCTTCTATGCATGAAATGAGAATAAAA